ATAAATAGTCTAAGCCGTGAAACAGAAGGAGCAGGGTTCCTGGGTACAGTGCTGCTGGAGGAGACCCCTGTGCAGGGGCTCTTCTTCTGAGGCAGGAGTGACAGAAGTGAGATACTGAGGTCCCATCTAAGCCTAACTGGGGGGCCTATTCGCAAGATTACTCATGGAATCAGTTTGAATCCAAAGAAAACTCTGAAGGAAGTTGGGGGAAGAGTGTCCAGCTGTCCTATGGTGATGTGAGCCATCCTCTCCCTCACGGAGAAGACCCTGGTGGATACTGGAAGGAGACAACCAATGAATCTGTGGCTGCGTCAGAAGATGATCCAAGTGATAGAGAGTAAGTGACTGTGTGTGGCTTTTGGTCTCTAGGAGTCAGTCACTGTCAGCACTAGAGATCTGTAGGAGATTCTTTTTTGTACAGTTCAGCTAGATGGCTAAGGTATGAAGTGTTCAGTTCATCAGGTCTGGGGTACCCCATACTTTCCTAACCCCATACAAGTTATTTGCTCCAATAGAACCCAAAAAAGACACCCCTAGACTGTTCCTGTGAGCTAGTGGAAGAGTGAAGAAAATGATATGTACCTGGCTATGTATGCTCTAACTGGGTGTATAGGACTCAATTAATCAGTGGCTCTTTAGAGGATGTGCAGAAGTAGTGTGCACCCAGGTACGTTAAGAAACACCTGGATAGTGGCTTTGTCAAAGTCAGTGAATCCAGAATGCCAAGCCTTTCTTAGGATTTTCCTTAATGTTGTTGAAAATTATCTGTCAGAAGGTAGCTCTAGGCCTAAAAACATATGGAAGTTGCAGGGATTGGGTTCTATCTAGCTCTATTTCTGTTGAGAGATCTTTACAAAGGATTGTGTTCAGGATGGTAGATGCTGTGGTTTTAAAGTCTCAGCTAGCACTAGCTTCAGAAAGCCCCCTGGACATCAAATTGTTCCTTCTACTCCTATTTTCCAGGTCATCTTGGTAGAGCTGGAGGGAAAGGGTTTGTTACCCTCATAGAATTTAGAATTCTAGGTGAAAAAGGAAGCTCTTCATAGACGCTTGACCCACTTCCAGTGTGTCAACAACTGCTGCATGGCATATTTCACTTCTTGTAGTTTGTCATGAGCATTTGCTGCATAGTGTATGCAAAGGTGCAAAGGATTCCTGGGCTTTTGAGTTGTCAGGAAAGCAAAGGTGGCCCTCTATTCTGGGCCTGCTAGTAGTGCTGTAGGCCAGCTCCCACCCATTTCCTGCTGCCAATCTGGGGAGTCTGGCAGCTGTTCTGGTGGGAATTCCGCCATACCCGTCTTGTCTCCTGAATTGTGCAGAATCAAATCTACAGGGCAATAAATCATCACTGAGTGAACAGTATCATATATAAAACAGGAAGAGGCAGTCTGAAGTGGCTTCATGTTGACTTACTACCTCAAGACATACAGAGGTTTGGGGGCTAAAATAATCAGTCACCTGTCTGCCCCAGTCCTTGCATTTTTTTTTCTTCCTTTGGCATGCAGGTTCGGTAATATAGAAATGCTGAAAGACCAGGTACAGTAAATGGTTCATAGGAGCAGAGTTGTGATGTGACCTCCCACACCCCCTTCATCCTTGTGGTTTTTTTTTAAAGTGTTACTAAACCCAGGACCCTGCATTTACTATATCTGGTCTCACACAGAACACGGAAATGCAATTATTTTAGTAAATATAAACTGATACCTTTTCTAATCCGTAGTTAGAGCAGTCTTGTGAATGTTATCAGTGTCCAGCAGAGCACTGGTTAAAGCTTGTAGGAGGAGCTTTCATTCTCCCCTGATTATCCTATGAGGCAGCAGGACCCCTGACCCTCTTTCTGGAAAGTGCTGATTGGTCACACCAAACTGAGTATGCACAGCTTGCCCCCAAGGCTCTGTTCTATCAGCAGATGGATTGGAGACAGTAGAAGAAGGGAAGATCAGAGAAGACAGGATCAAACATCATTTTTACACAATGCTGAGGATTAACCTCTTACATTCCACAGTGAGTATAACAAGCATGCATTATTGCATATACAGACTGATTTTACTGTTGTGAGTTTAGTAACACGAAGTATTTCACCTTAATCTGTAGGAACTGTTTGAATGAAGATCTTATGTGGAAAAAAAAAAATCAATTTTCATGGGATGTACTTACTTTTTCAAATCTACCAAGTAAGAATGCAAATCAGTCTGTTTTGTCATGAGTGCTGCCCTTTTATAGAAATACTAATGCATCTTGACATTAAAGGATAAGTTCAGGGTGGAAGTGTGGAACATGTAGCATGTTCCCATAGTCACAGCTGCACCTTTCACACCCCCTCCCTCTGACAGATAGTACGGGGAGAAGTTTCCCCGTACTATCTGTCAGATTTGAAAACACTGTAGCCGTGCGGGGCTCCATCCACATGGCCGCGTCACTCCTTCACAGTGTTTATGCAAAATTGTTTCCTGACACCACAGAAACGTGCTGCCCTTTAGCAGACACATAGCAATGGCACCCTCACACATCTACTGATATGTGCGTTTTCACATGCACCAAAATTCAGGGTGCTGTGGCACTGTGTGGCTCGGTGTGATTCCAAAAAAGGGTCAGGGACTTTTTTTTCCCATATTTCTAGCACAGAGAGAAGCCCATTCGAAAGAATGGGCTGCACTACACATGAAATATATCTTTATCCACCCTGTCCGTACACCTTTTGCATCCTAAATTTCCCTGCTAACCTCTGCACCCCAAACCTACCCCATCCTCTCCTCTCCAACCTTTCCCTCCCACCTTAACTCTACATGCCTCCCTGCTCATCATTGCACTCACCTTCCTTACCTCTGCACATCCCCTCCTTACTCACCTCTGCACCCTGAACTTTAATTCCTTTTCTACCCGTGCGTCATTGACATCGCTGCACATGTGCAGTATACCCCTAATACCGCAATTTTGGCACCAATAGACCGCCATTTAAACCCTGGAGGCTTGATTAAATTCAGGACTACATGGGGAAGAAGGGTTTGAGGTTTTCCCTCCCCCTTCTTCGATGGGAAACCATCTTAGTCTCTTATATGTTTTTTTCTCCTATTGATGGGAAACAATCTGAGCCTTACAATACTTAGTTTTCTGGAGCATTTGGCCATGAGATCTCTAATTGTATGGTATGGATTTCGATGGATTTTGGTTTACACACCTATAGATATGTCTGTACTCGGTCGCTTATTTATCCAAGTTGTATATGTTTTGGGGATTTGACCAATATTTATCACTTACAAATAATTTTTTTTTTCTCCCCCCCTTTGAGGGTTTGAACTTATGACCATTTTGGGGAGTAGGGGTGTAGTTGGGACTTGGGGGGGGGGGGGGGGTTTCACTACTATTTTTTGATCAATGTATTTTGTGATTCCCAAGAATGATGATTCTGCTGTTTTACAAGTCTGCAAGTGGACATAGATCCTTTCTTATTAATTATTTATGGTACTTATATAGCGCCGTCAATTTTACGCAGCGCTTTACATATATATATTGTGCATTCACATCAGTGTACAATCTAAGGTCCCTAACTCACATTCATACATACACATACTAGGGCCAATTTGGACAGAAACCAATTCACCTACCAGCATGTCTTTGGAGTGTGGGAGGAAACCGGAATATCCGGAGGAAACCCTCACAGGCACAGGGAGAACATGCAAACTCCAGGCAGGTGGTGCTGTGGTGGGGATTTGAACCTACCACCCTAGTACTGCCAGGTGGAAGTGCTAACCATTTAGCCACTGTGCTATTCTTGATTGATGATCATTATTTATAGTTGCTGGAGGCCCCCCTCTGTCCATCCAGATATGATTTACCTATATTTTGCATGAGCCATCTGGGAATGTGCTGGTACCATCAACTGGTAACTGCTGTTAAACTCTTTATTTTTGTTGTTTTTTTTTATAATATTGCATGACTGCACACTGATTATATGTTTCTGGTTCTGTTTTTTCTTTCTGTAGGAATTTGTGTTTTGGTTTTTCCCTGAAGAAGCGGGCTCTGTACCGCTGAACGCACTGTAATCTTAAAACAAAGGTCCTACTCATGGTTCCAAGTGGAAACTACATATCTATATGTTCACCAACACCTATGATACTATATGTTTAGGTGTTTTATACTAACCTATATATTTTATTTTATTTCAGGTACTTGTATAGTGCCGTCAATTTACGCAGCACTTTACACATATATATTGTACATTCACATCAGTCCCTAACCCTCAAGGGTTGTACAATGTAAGGTCCCTAAGTTACATTCATACATACACATACATACTAGGGACAAATTAGACAGGAGCCAATTAACCTAGCAGCATGTCTTTGGAGTGTGCGAGGAAACTGGAGCACCCAGAGGAAAACCTACGCAGGCACAGGGAGAACATGCACACTCCAGGCATGAGGTGCTGTGGCTGGGATTCAAACCAACGACCCTAGTACTGCCAGGTGGAAGTGCTAGCCATTTAGCCACTGTGCTGCCTGATATAATTATATGTTTCCATTGTTGCCATGTACCATCATGTCTATCTTTGTTTAGAGGTTAGCCTTCATGTCCTGCGGCTGTAGTTGGTTGTTTGTGGCTGTTGCCCGTGACACCTTTTGTGTCTAGGATATCAGTAACAATTACTGTGGCCAGGTCTCATTTATTGTATTTTATTTTATGATTTTCTATGTATATGTCTAATGATCATGCTTCACCTGTTGGTGGTTTTTTAATCTAATAAAAGGTGTTCAATTTTATAAACTGTCCTTACATTTTTGTTTAATCTATGTTTATTGATATGGTTTGGTACCTCTAAAGCCCAACTAGTGTTTCTTGGTTAGGCTCCTTTTCAACATACCGTATTTTCTGCTCCATAAAAAAAAAGGGGGGGAAAATGTCAGTGCGTCTTATGGAGCGGGCCGCTCTGGTATTCCCTGCCGGCGGCGCCGTGTCAGAATACTGGGCCGGCTGCTCAGCTCTTCTCTGCAGCAGGACCTTACCTGTTCCTCGGTCCAGTGCTGTACAGTCTTCCCACGCCGGCATCTTTAGTGTGGGCACCCGGCTGTGACAGCCCCAAAGGTTCGCACTCTCTTGGTCATCCCCTGTACTGTCTGCAGTCTCTTGGTCATCTCCTGTACTGTGTGCAGTCTCTTGGTCATCCCCTGTACTGGCTGCAGTCTCTGGTCATCCCCTGTACTGTCTGCAGTCTCTGGTCATCCCCTGTACTGTCTGCAGTCTCTGGTCATCTGTACTGTGTCCGCAGTCTCTGGTCATCTGTACTGTGTCCGCAGTCTCTGGTCATCTGTACTGTGTCCGCAGTCTCTGGTCATCTGTACTGTGTCCGCAGTCTCTGGTCATCTGTACTGTGTCCGCAGTCTCTGGTCAATCCCTGTACTGTGTCCGCAGTCTCTGGTCATCCCCCATATTGTGTCCGCAGTCTCTGGTCATCCCCCGTATTGTGTCCGCAGTCTCTGGTCATCTCCTGTACTATATCCACAGTCTCTGGTCATCTCCTGTACTGTGTCCGCAGTCTCTGGTCATCTCCTGTACTGTCTCCGCAGTCTCTGGTCATCTCTGTACTGTCTCCGCAGTCTCTGGTCATCTCCTGTACTGTGTCGGCAGTCTCTGGTCATCTCCTGTACTGTGTCCGCAGTCTCTGGTCATCTCCTGTACTGTGTCCGCAGTCTCTGGTCATCTCCTGTACTGTGTCCGCAGTCTCTGGTCATCTCCTGTACTGTGTCCGCAGTCTCTGGTCATCTCCTGTACTGTGTCCGCAGTCTCTGGTCTATGTCTGCAGTCGATTGGTTCAGAATATTTTTTTTCTTGTTTTTCTCCTCTAAAACCTAGGCACGTCTTATGGTCAGGTGCGTCTTATGGAGCAAAAAATACAGTAATTCTCATTAGGGGTGGTGTGGTACCAGTAAAACCGTAGTTACAAGGGTATGGAGAGCCATTTTTTTCTCCCACTCCCTATATATTTTTTGAAACCAATTTATTTCAAATACACGGTAGTGGTACATCCATCCATCTCAGATCTAGCAGGACTACTGTACATTACACAAACCTTACTGCTTCACTCTATATGCTATATAGTGCATTACAATGCCTGCAAATTGGTTACACTCTAAATCAAAGTATTGTCTGAAAAGTTGCTGCTTGCTGTGTAAGTTTACTATGTTTAATTAAGCTAGAGTTGGTGACTGGGGACAAAGAGAAGGCAAATTTATTAAATATCTTTTTCAGCTCTGTGTATACAAAGGAGCATGGGGGAGCTCTTGTCCATAATGGGCATAGTATTGACACAGCTCCAGATGATTCACATTGGCTCACAATAGATATGGTCCGGCAATATTTAGACAGAATAAAACTGAATAAAGCACCTGGACTGGATGGCATACACCCATGAGTCCATAAGGAATTAGGCTCTCTCATTTTAAAGCCATTGTTTCTCATTTTTAGGGACTCTTTAGTGACTGGCATAGTACCACTGGACTGGCGTAAGGCCAATGTGGTGCCAATACTTAAAAAGGGGTCAAAATCTTTACCAAGTGATTATAGACCTGTTAGTTTAATCTCTATAGTTGGAAACATATTGAAAGACAGAAGTTGCCAAACAAATCTGATTTCTTTTTATGAGGAGGTGAGCAAAACCTTGGACAGAGGGGTGGCGGTGGACGTGGTATACTTGGATTTTTAAAAAGTGTTTGACACAGTTCCCCACACACAGCTAATATGTAAGGTAAAGCCTACTGGCTTGGAAAAATCAGTATGTAAATGGATCGAAAACTGGCAAAAAGATTGTATTCAGAGAGTAGTGGTTAATTATTCATACTCTGAATGGTCTAGGGTTGTCAATGGTGTACCCCAAGGTTCAGTGTTGGGACCCTTACTTTTTAATATATATAAACGACATAGGGTCTGGAAATAAAAATACCATATCATTCTAGGTTCACACCTAAGCGTTTTCTACAGCATTTTGCAGAAACGAAGTACAGTCCATTTAGCATGATTTCCTATGTTCACATCTCTGCGTTTTCACCTGGCATGGTTTTTAAAAAAGGTCAAGGACTTTTTTGAACGCAAAAAGTTGCATTTTTGGTTCTATAGAAATGAAAAAAGCAAAACGCAGCAAAAATGCCTAAAAAATCCAGGTACAAAACGCAATGCAGAAATGGCTCAACGCAACCTGCATAGGTGTGAACCTAGCCTTAATCTTTGCAGATGATACCAAGCTTTGCAGTGAAATAACTTTCTTACAGGATGTCTCCAACTAGCAATCCGACCTCAATGAACTGTTTAATTGAGCAAATGAGGTTTAACCACAAGGGGACCGCCCGCAGTACATATACTGCTAAAAGGCGGCCCCTGTGCACAGGATCACATATGTAAACGTGATCCTGCCTTCTGAGGGTAGGGGGCGTGCGACCGCCCTACCCGTGGCACCTTGCGGCCATGGGTGTCAATCACCTGGTCCCAGACGGTGATTACCCGGCGATTCCCAGCAATCACTGACAGAGAGGAAGGCTGCATTGTTTTCAATGGAGCTTTCCTCCCTGTCAGCTTTCAGCTCACTGTTCCAGGATAGCAGGACACAGCCTCCTGGGAGAGTGTGTAACAGAGCAGTACGCACCCCCAACCCCTAGTAAAACACTCCGCTCACACAGTTAACCCTTTGATTGTCTCCAAAAGTTAACCCCTTCCTCCCCAGTGCAATTATTACAGTGTCAGTGTTTTTTTTTTGCACTGATCACTGTATTGGTGTCACTGGGGATGTCAATGACTCCAAGTCAGTTCCCCCCCAGTGTCAGAATGCCAGCTGCAGTCCCACCATAAGTCGCTGATTGCCACCATAAGTCGCTGATCGCCACTATTATTAGTATAAATAAAATTAAAATTCAAGTATCTATACCGCCATTTGTAAACACTATAACTTTCACGTAAACCAATTAATTTACATGTATTGGAATTTTTTTTAGCAAACACGTAGCAGAATACATTTTGGCCAAAAATTATGACGAAATTTGATTTTTAAAGTTTTTTACTGGACATATTTTTAGCAAAAAGTCCAAAATACTGTTTTTTTTCCTCAAAATTGTCGGTCTTTTTTTTGTAATAGCGCAAAAAAATAAATACCGCACAGGCGATCAAATACCACCAAAATAAAGCCCAATTCATGGGGAAAAAGGATGTAAATTTAATTTTGGTGCAGCGTTGCATAACCACGCAATTGTCAGTTAAAGTGATGTAGCGCCATAGCACAAACTGGTTATGTAACCGCTTCCTGGCCGCCCTATAGCAGAAATACTTCTACAGGGCGGCACAGGTGTGCAAAATCACATATATATATATATATATATATATATATATATATATATATATATATATATATATATATATATACAGTCAGGTCCATAAATATTGGGACATCGACACAATTCTAACATTTTTGGCTCTATACACCACCACAATGGATTTGAAATGAAACAAACAAGATGTGCTTTAACTGTAGACTGTCAGCTTTCATTTGAAGGTATTTACATCCAAATTGGGTGAACGGTGTAGGAATTACAACAGTTTGCATATGTGCCTCCCACTTATTAAGGACCAAAAGTAATGGGACAGAATAATAATCATAAATCAAACTTTCACTTTTTAATACTTGGTTGCAAATCCTTTGCAGTCAATTACAGCCTGAAGTATGGAACGCATAGACATCACCAGACGCTGGGTTTCATCCCTGGTGATGCTCTGCCAGGCTTCTACTGCAACTGTCTTCAGTTCCTGCTTGTTCTTGGGGCATTTTCCCTTCAGTTTTGTCTTCAGCAAGTGAAATGCATGCTCAATCGGATTCAGGTCAGGTGATTGACTTGGCCATTGCATAACATTCCACTTCTTTCCCTTAAAAAACTCTTTGGTTGCTTTTGCAGTCTGCTTTGGGTCATTGTCCATCTGCACTGTGAAGCGGCGTCCAATGAGTTGTGAAGCGTTTGGCTGAATATGAGCAGATAATATTCCCGAAACACTTCACAATTCATCCGGCTGCTTTTGTCAGCAGTCACATCATCAATAAATACAAGAGAAGCAGTTCCATTGGCAGCCATACATGCCCACGCCATGACACTACCACCGCCATGCTTCACTGATGAGGTGGTATGCTTAGGATCATGAGCAGTTCCTTTCCTTCTCCATACTCTTCTCTTCCCATCACTCTGGTACAAGTTGATCTCGGTCTCATCTATCCATAGGATGTTGTTCCAGAACTGTGAAGGCTTTTTTCCATGTCGTTTGGCAAACTCTAATCTGGCCTTCCTGTTTTTGAGGCTCACCAATGGTTTCCATCTTGTGGTGAACCCTCTGTATTCACTCTGGTGAAGTCTTCTCTTGATTGGTGACTTTGACACACATACACCTACCTCCTGGAGAGTGTTCTTGATCTGGCCAACTGTTGTGAAGGGTGTTTTCTTCACCAGGGAAAGAATTCTTCGGTCATCCACCACAGTTGTTTTCCGTGGTCTTCCGGGTCTTTTGGTGTTGCTGAGCTCACCGGTGCGTTCCTTCTTTTTAAGAATGTTCCAAACAGTTGTTTTGGCCACGCCTAATGTTTTTGCTATCTCTCTGATGGGTTTGTTTTCTTTTTTCAGCCTAATGATGGCTTGCTTCACTGATAGTGACAGCTCTTTGGATCTCATCTTGAGAGTTGACAGCAACAGATTCCAAATGCAAATAGCACACTTGAAATTAACTCTGGACCTTTTATCTGCTCATTGTAATTGGGATAATGAGGGAATAACACACACCTGGCCATGGAACAGCTGAGAAGCCAATTGTCCCATTACTTTTGGTCCCGTAACAAGTGGGAGGCACATATGCAAACTGTTGTAATTCCTACACCGTTTCACCCGATTTGGATATAAATACCCTCAAATTAAAGCTGACAGTCTGCAGTTAAAGCACATCTTGTTCGTTTAATTTCAAATCCAATGTGGTGGTGTAAAGAGCCAAAAATGTTAGAATTGTGTCGATGTCCCAATATTTATGGACCTGACTATATATATATATATATATATATATATATATATATATATATATATATATATATATATGTGATTCACACTCCTGTGGTTTTCACGCCCCTCCCAGATGGTGTCAGTTTGCCCGCCAGTACACCAGTTATCACATTTTAACCCCTTGATTGCCAGGAACACTCTCTTACACAATAAACCTCCATTGCGTGTCTGAATGGATAATATAGTGTCTGAATGGATCAATATCTTTGATCAGATCAGCACTATACCAGCGTTCCCATTAGCATAGCGTCCCCAAGAACACAGCATTAACAAAATCAGCCCCAGCACCTGC